TTCTTCTCGTCCCCAGATAGTAATACTTGTGCTAAAAAATAAATGATAGTGATCTTTGCTTTATCGCTACCTTTTATCTTCTTCCCTGTGAGCAATTTCTTTAAATCAACAACAAGTACTACGTGGGACTTAAAATGCTCCAACAATCTTATATTTTTCAAAGGTTTCAACACCACGTCCGGCTCTGGGGTTTTCTCGCAGTTCAATCCAGTGATTAAAGCAAATTCGCTCATTCCGAACCTAGTTGGTTTTCCATTAACCATGAACCACAACTCATGTCTCTTTTTTGTTTCTATTTGCCTCAAAAGCAGATAGTGTGTCAACACTCAAAATAGATCATATTTTCAGACATCGAAATAAAATGTCCGAAGACAGATTCCTTGAAAATTGACATTTCTGTTTCGGGGTCTAGATTCTGCCTGATTACCTCCAAAGTCTCGATCTTTGACTTCATAATGACTTTCACTGGGAAGTACTCCCGTATAGGATCCATGATCATCCTTAGATGTCCAATCCCAGGAAGTTCATATGTGTTGTACTTCGGGAGGTCATACTGAAAAAAAAAAGAAAAAACACATCGATCAGAACTGACCAAGACGACAGAACCGACTAGAATAGACCAAGAAACCAAACAAGAACCGATTGAACCAACCATGTCCTGACAGAACCGACCCCAAAACTGACCAAGTACCGACCCGAACCGACCCCGGAACCGACCAACAACCGACCAAGAACCGACCTTCACCTAGAACCGACCAAAATCGACCAGAACCGACCCTTCTCGACAAGAACTGACTAAGAACCGACTAAAAACCGACCTAGAACTGACTGTGAACAGAAAAAAGAAAAAACACATCGATCAGAACTGACCAAGACGACAGAACCGACTAGAATAGACCAAGAAACCAAACAAGAACCGACTGAACCAACCATGTCCCGACAGAACCGACCCCAAAACTGACCAAACCGACCAAGTACCGACCTGAACCGACCCCAGAACCGACCAACGACCGACCAAGAACCGACATTCACCTAGAACCGACCAAAATCGACTAGAACCGACCCTTCTCGACAAGAACTGACTAAGAACCGACTAAAAACCGACCTAGAACCGACCGTGAACAGACCAGAACTAAAACCGACTATGAACAGACCAATGTTGCTTATATTAAGTTTTTGTTCTTGCAAAAATGTATAAGAAAAAGTAAAATAAGAATATTACCTGAGCAGATTCCGTTGCCTCGTCGACAAGTGTTCGGGAAATGGCCGTTTTAGTTGAGGAAGAAGAACTGTTTTGTGATGCCATTTCAGTCTAAAAGTCGCCGGTTTTTAGCCGGATTTTGGTGAGGAGGTGGTCGGTTTTTGTGGTCGGGTTTTTGGTGAGTGGTCGGGATCGATTTTTGGTCGGTTTTAGTGGGAAGGAATGTCGGTTTTTGGTGAACGGTCGGTTTTTGGTGAGGTGGTCGGTCGGCCGACGAGGGAGATCGGAGAGAGTGGATCGGCCGGTGAGAGAACTACGGCGAGAGAGAGAGGGGTTCGAGCGGTCGGTTTCGGGTGAAGAGAGGGTCGAGCAGTCGGTTTTGTGAGGAGAGAGTTTTTAAAAATGACTCATACACTTGGACTAATATGACCTATTTTTTGCCACGTAAGATACACGTCATGATTTTTTTGTTATAAAAAAAAAACTTGTCTACTTTTTTGATTTGTGTTTTGCTCCGGTCTCTTTTATCAAATTTTCTCCTCCCCCTGTCTGTCTCTTTCTCTCCGAAATGCCGTCTCACTGTCTCTTCTTTCCCACCCACACTCACACACAAACCCTCCTCTTCTCTCCTTGGACTTCCACTCTCTCTCCCCTCTCCATTTCCAGAACTCGCCTTCTCTCTCTCTCCGCTTCTCGAGGCTCCTTGAACCGCCTCTTCTCTCTCTCTCACCGTCCCTCCTTCTCCATGGCCGCCTCCGATCCCAATCTCTGCAATGGCTTCGTCAATTCTCTTTCCCAGCAGCTCGATGATTCTGAACTCGATCGCTTCGCCGATGTCGCCAATGCCGTCGCCGACGCCTCCGGAGTTGTCCTTCGCAACTACTTCCGTAGCAAGTTCGAGATTCTCGATAAGGAAGATTTCAGTATGTTTTTTTTTTTAATTTCTTTTTCTAGGGTCTGTCTGTTTGGTTGCTGAGAAAATGAAATGACGGAAACGTAGATTGAAAAATTCGCTCCAACTTGTGCCGCTTTTCTACTGTTTTGTTTATTTATCTTTGGCTTATGAAGGGGAGAGCTTTGTCTGAGAATGTGAAGTTTTAGGTGTGAACTTATTGGATTGAATTGTCAGCTTCTTGTCTGATTACTGAGAAAATGCAGGAAAAATGATGAAGTTTTTGTTATTTTCCTTTCTGATATATTTTGGGAACATTCATATGAATGTAACAGAAGGATTGACTAATTCTACCCAAAAAAAAAAAAAGAACAGAAGGATTGTCTAAAAGTGTCCAATCGACATGTGGAATTCCTTATATGATCAGATGCTATATTTCTTCTATTGCAGGCCCTGTAAGTATTGCAGATAAAACAGCGGAGGAATCAATGGTATCAATCATATTGGAGAATTTTCCATCTCATGCTATGTAAGCTATTAAGCCTGCCAAACTTTATCTTTTTGTTTTTTAGTTTCTGTATTATTTGGTTGTCATCAAATTAGATTAATTTAAGTGGTGGGAAGGAAGGAAATGTACTTGAGCCTTGCAATTTACGGCCGTTTTAGATGCGAAATGTGACAAATTAAGAATCTTTTACATCCCAGACCCTTTGTAGTTCTTGTGTTTATTAGGTTCAACACCAAATACACAAAACTAAGCTAAGTGATCATGCACTTATACGCTAGTATGATTTTCGATTTTTCTCTTCTCAAGTCATAGACAAGAAATTAGAGTGTTTTTCTTTCCTCCTACATTTCACATTGAACCCAAAAATGAAGGCAAGTGAAATATTGAGGTCTTTGCATGTTAAGTTTTATGCTTAAAGCCATCGAGTTCAATTTTAAACTTTGTTATTGCTGAAAATATTTACAGAGTTGTAATTGCAGCTATGGGGAAGAGAATGGATGGAGGTGCAGAGAGGAGGAGGCGGACTATGTATGGGTTTTGGACCCAATCGATGGGACAAAGAGTTTTATAACTGGTAAATATATTTTGTCTTCGTGAAGCACCACCGACACTTGGCATAAGCTCTAAAAGGTTTTATATTGGTGAATCTACTCTTCTAATTGTTTCAGGAAAACCTGTCTTTGGTACTCTCATTGCTCTGCTACATAAGGATAAACCTGTAAGAATCACCTGCTACCTGGTTGCATGCATAAAATGAAAAATGAAGTCTGGGAAACGATCTTTTGACAAATGGAGAATATAAATAGCTTCTCGCCCCCTTTTTCTCCCCCTAAATTTGTGTAAAGAGAAGAAGGAAATACAAGGGAAAGAAAATAGGTTTTGGCATCACATTAGCACAACTTTTGTCATTTTATGCGTGCTAACAAGTAGTATTAGCCAATCTTTATTGCCTTATATTCACCATTTTAAATGTAAACCATCACCTTCATTTTTATAAGAGGAAAGTTGCGGACTTTAAAAAGTTTGATTAGTTGCATAAATTGTGTTTTTACTTGTAAAGTTGTATATTCCTTTAGAAAAAATTATTTTTCCCATTTCAGATTCTTGGCGTTATTGATCAGCCTGTCTTAAGAGAAAGATGGATTGGGCTAAGTGGAAGAAAAACCACATTGAATGGACAAGAAGCGTCTACACGCTCTTGTGCAAATCTCTCACAAGCCTATCTGTATGTTTCTTCTCTCTTCAAATGTCTTTCTTTTAGACTAGAGGTTGTAATGCAGAAAATATATCACGTGTCATGATCAAATTTTTGCGGTTTTATGGAAAGATAGTGAACTTCTTTATATCCTGTGACTTATGGATAAGTAATCAGTTTAACCATTGCCTCTTGTTTTCATTTTTACTCGTCTCCCTGATTATAGGTATACTACAAGTCCCCATCTATTCAGCGAAAAGGCAAAAGAAGCATTTGTTCGTGTGAGAAATAAGGTGTGTTTACATCTGCTATTTGAAGGAAGACCGTTGCATGATATTAGGAAATATGCCAATATCATTTACATATATAGCGTGAGATATACAAAATAAACTGCAGAACTCTCATTGTATATTGAATGACTGGAGTATACTTTTATTTATTTTGATAAGCCCCAAGGTACCAAAGATGCAACAGGGCCAAAATAAGAAGGATCGCTAGTCCGGGGATGAAATTCACATAATCTTGAGCTTTCGATTGATAAGGAAAATCCGCCGCAATCGAAGATCAAGGGGATGTTCGCCACAGTTAGTGTGAATCTCTAACTGATAAGAACGGAATACTCTCAAAACCAGGCACACATGGAGATGAGAAGAACACTCAAAAGAGCTTTTCATTCATCCAAATTCAATCAAAATACAATGAGGGGGCGTGCTCTATATATAGAGTGCTGATTCTCTTTGTTTCCTAAAACAATTCAATCAAAAGAAAAAGGGAAACTAACTGATTCTAAAAATCAGGAAAGTCTAAAAACGGGAAACTAAATAACTAGGAGATAAAGTAAATTGTTGCATCAACAAAACAGGAAAGTAATTCAATTACTAAAAAGGAAACTTAAAGGAAACTAAAACTTGAGCTCCAAGCCTTCTAGAATGCGCCCAAATCTTTCCAAAATTAGTTCCAATTTGCGCCAGTCTTCAGATCTTCTTCTTGATGTGTTTCTTCATGGCCAAGGCTTCTGAAATGCTTCTCAAGAATTACTTAAATACCCCCAGGGTTGGCCAGGTAAAGTAAATTGACGACTTTACCCCTTGAGCGAGTAATTGGGCCTTTGTACGAGTCCTCTTCATGTTGAACCTCATCATTTCCCCCTTGTTGAGAAGGATTTGCCCTCAAATCCTCAAGTTCTTCAATCTGAATCCCATCCTCCAAGTAAGGCGTCAAGTCACTAACATTGAAGGTGGTACTGACATGGTAATCTTCGGACAGTTCTATCTTGTAAGCATTGTCATTGATCCTCTCTAGCACACGAAAAGGACCATAAGCTCTAGGCATCAGCTTGGATTTCCGTTGAGTAGGAAATCTGTCCTTCCTTAGATGGATCCACACGAGATCACCAGGAGCAAATTGCACACGTCTTCTTCCCTTGTTGGCTGACCTCTCGTAAGCTGCATTCTTCTTCTCTATTTGCTCTTTTACACTCTTGTGCAAGTCTTTCACCATTTGAGCCTTCTTTGCTCCATCTGTACAAACCTTCTCATGAACTGGAATAGGAGTCAAATCTAAAGGAGTAATAGGATTAAACCCATAAACTACCTCAAAAGGAGAATGCTTTGTAGCACTATGAACACTACGGTTATAGGCAAATTCCACATAAGCTAAGCATTCATCCCAGTTCTTCAAGTTCTTATTCACCACTGTTCTAAGCAAAGCTGAGAGCGTTCGATTCACCACTTCAGTTTGCCCGTCAGTTTGAGGATGACAAGCGGTGTTATACAACAACTTGGTGCCTAGTTTCTTCCAAAGGTCTTCCAAACATAGCTCAAAAATTTCACATCACGATCTGATACAATGCTCCTTGGAATACCATGGAGACGAACAATTTCTTTGAAGAATAAATCAGCAATATGGCTAGCATCATCAGTTTTGTGGCACGGAATAAAATGACATTTTAGAAAATCGGTCCACAACTACCATCACCGAATCCTTTCCACGCTGAGTTTTAGGCAAACCCAACACAAAATCCATAGAAATATCTTGCCAAGGATGATTAGGTACATGTAAGGGCATGAACAATCCTTGAGCCATCACTTTGCTTTTAGCTCTCTTGCAAGTCACGCACCTTTCAACAATGCGATGGACATCTCGCAACATAGCCGGCCAATAGAAATGTTCTTTCAGCAACTCCAACGTCTTCTTCTCTCCAAAATGACCAGCTAACCC